TTTTAATTGTATACTTCTGTCGAGTTTTTTGTGGTCGGTGGCGCACAAGAGAATAATAAGGCCACAGCAAAAAAGTTTTATACATGTCATCCTCCTCAGACTCCAAATTTAATGCGGTAGGGCGAAAAAAAACAACAAGACGGGCCAAAATAAACAAGATTCATACATCTTCAACTTTTGAGATCTTGAACCTTATTAAACAAGAATGAAGGCGATAAAACATGACATCACAACAGGTCTTTATTCCTGTTTTTAACAGTATAAACTGCCCTTGCAGATATGTATGCATCTCAATAGATAGGTAGATAGGCTGGTAGAAAAGATCATCCATACGCGATGAAACACCTTACATATGCATTGTCAACGCTTGCCACCAAATACAAGCAATTGTTCCTCAAGTTTGCTGGTTCGCTGACGGTCTCTGAACCGAAAGAGGTTCACAACATTTGGTCCGTTTTCGGCATGTTGTCCATCGTTGGAGGCCAACAAAATTTTTTTGTTTTTCAAAATCAGTTGAAAATCACTGCGCGCGCTGATGCCATCCAAAAAATTCCTTGCTGTCGACTAAGGACAATTTACTAGGTTGGGTCTTGCTACAGTGCACATCATGACAGTTATGAATACCCTAGATCATGCTGATTTGATTACGTGGATGACATCCTCTGAGAACCCCAGAACTGATGGGAATAAAAAAAAGCTTGGCAAAAAAAGTTGCCTTCGTTAATTGTGAAATCTACGTAGTCATGACGGCTGAACAAATGACTAAACACACAGAGTATGGTATGGCGAATGATAAACTTTTCATTTTCATTTCTTCACATTTTCTTCTTTGCCTTTGGGATTGATGTTGGCATTCTACGACATAAGTATTGTCTTCCAATATTCGTTTCGTAACTTGAGGCATAATTGCTAATTTTGCAGCAGATTTGTACGATGTACAATATGGTCGAACACGGACTATTTTTTGGAAACGGGCGAAAAATCATGCGCGCGTGGATGTCATCCATACAATCCAATCAACATGGCCTTACCGAGCTCCAGCCCATTTACCACATCCACTCTTCCCGCCCCTGTACACATCCGCCAGCTCTCGACATTGTCGCCTATGACGTCACCAGTGGGCGGATCAAACCGGTTCGCCGTTATTCAGATTCACGATGAAAAGGAAATAGATGACGATCACTTGGCAACTCCTTAGAAATTAATGACTCGATAACTTCACATGAACGGAGGTGAAATTAATGGTATTAGCGTGTTTCAAAAGAGCTCACGGGATCCCAAAACCTGTTATTATTACCTTCGACAAGAAGGTTATGTTTTCGTGACTGTGTGTGTGTGTGTGTTTGACTCTCAACAGCAAAACTCAAGAAGGCATGAATGTAACGTAATCATAGTTGGTAGGGGTTTGGTGAGAGGAGAAAACGATTAGATTTTGGGCCCCCTAGCAGCTTTCCTTGGTACTGCATCAGAACTTGATATTTCGTTTTGATGTTTTGATATCTCGTGATCTGGACATAAGGTCACGATTTTTGGTTGGTACAGAGCCCTTGGAACAGAGAATAAGTGACATAGGTTTGGGCCCCCTAGCAGCTTGTTATGAAACTGCAGGGCCAGTTTTTCGTAAAATGTTTGAAAGATCATAACTCGAGAAGGGGTTGGTGGATTGTCATGATTTTTGGGATGCAGGGAGTAAAGGTGAAAAATTACATAATTAGATGTTAATTATGCAAATAAGTGTCTAATTTGCATAAAATCTTGTCGTTATTTCTGGCCTGCCTGAGTAGAATGAATGTGTGTGCGCGCGCGCGTAACTGATGGTAGTTTCTTTTTGATATCAAACTACAAACATGCCTTAAAAAGGAGGTATAGAATTACAACTGACAGATGGCTTCGTGCAGTTTGCGAGCTCTTTATAATAATGTTTGTTGCAAAATCATGCGCGAAGGCTAATTGCTTTTACAGAGTCAAAAATAGTACAAAACAATAATAGGAAAAAGACAACTACAGTCTGTGAAAAAATATACTTCTACTACTACGCTTGCTATTACGAACGCCTTCTTTGATGGCAGTGGATAATAAATTGACCCACGTTCTGCATGATGAGTGGGCTTTGTGATCTTGCAGTCTTTTGATGATCTTCTAAATGATGAAAAGATGGAGAAATTGTGGCAACTGTTTGAAATAATGTGTTTTATAGTCTCTATGGCAATGGTATCAACATGTTTAGCTGTCATGGGTTACATGCTTTGTTTTGCAGTGTTTATTGAAGTCTTCTAAGGCAATAAGAATTGGAGTTTAAAGTACCGATCTGAATGTGTGCATACAAACACATCAAAACATTGTGGCAATAGTCGACTGGATAGAGCAGCATACCTTTGGCCACAGCAAGTAAATTTTATGGATGACATCCTCCGCAGACTCCAAATCTAATGCGATAGGGCGAAAAAAAACAAGGCGGGCAAAAAAAAACAAGATTCCTACATTTTCAAATTTTGACATCATAAACGTTATTAAACAAGAAATGATACACATATTGTGGTAAGTTTACTAACAACTATAACAACATCCATTTGTCATTGAAACAACTTTTCTTGTCTCCTCTCTTCATATTTATCTGCCATTCACGTTCCGGCATGGCAACAGACATCTTTGCCCATTTTCGGCATGTTGACCAACGTTAGATGGCAACATAATGGCCCATAATGTCTTTTTCAGGCGAAAATTAATGCGCGCGCTGATGTCATCGCTGATTCTGGAAACGGTCAGACGTTTTAGGTAGCATCCACATCCACTACCTTTCGTCAGTGACACTGGAGACTTGTCAGAAAAGCAGGTTAATAATCACGAACTATTGATTGATGTGCAAATAAATTGAAGACGAATTTTTGATATACAGTAAATATCGAGACTGACATCCGTCTTGCAAGCCTGCAAAGACAAAATCAAAGCGTGTCTATTGATAGAATTGTCTTACAAGTAAAGGACTCTGTTGAGTATGGTAGGATTGTCATTTTGACCTTTTCTTATATAAGAAGGGCACGTGTAAGCGTCACCTTCTAGTGACCGGTACCGCACAAATATGAATTATGAATATGATATCATCATCGATTCTCCAGCAGTGTGAAACGGTCATTTCAGTCGGGAATAATTTTCATCTTGCCAAATTATCATTTTGATATTTGCATTTATCAATTTGGAGTGGCTCTTGTTTAAGGGAGAGTTCATTTTGAAAGGTACACAATGCAATTTCAGGGTGGCAAACCTGGATTTTCAATCCTATCCTGTGTAGCATGACGGATATTTATGAGGCAAAAGTGTGATGTCGCTAACGGAAAACGTTTGCTCGTTTTGTATCGTAGTCTGGTTCTAGCTAGTTATGGGTGATACCCGTGAAATAAAGACACGCCTCACGTAGCTTGTGTGGGGGCTATTTTTTTTTTTATTCCAACATGTAATCACCAGACGTGGTGACGGCACACTCAAGTTTTATCAACTTATATTAATGCCGCCACCAACACAGGGGACAATACATGACAGGACGATACTCATTTACACCTGAGCTAAGTGAGGAAAGTCGTGTAAAGTGCCTTTCCTAAGGGCACAAGATCGGTGGCATGTCAGGACTCGAACCCGGGACCTCTCGGTTCCTTGTCGCGCACTCTGCCGCTACGCCACACGACCCCACACTATTTCAAACGCTTTACGTATGAAATGACTAGCCTGGGTGCCATCCAGGCTATGAAATGACAAAAATGTGCTAAGAATAACAGTAAACGTCAATATCCAAAAACATTACCTCCGCAAACGAAGGTAATAAGTATGTCACACTTCGAGCATAAAATCGTCAAAAATGGCGACCTCCTCAATCAATCATGATTCTAGCATCCTTCCTGTGACATTGGAATTTGCATCTTTATTGCAACAATAACATTATGCACTGATTAAGATTGATCTTTTAGTGCAAATTGTTTTTATATATGTATAGGATTTTACGCGTATTATGCGCGACGGGTGTCGAACTTCTAACATGATATATTAGCCTTTCTGCTAACTATATACTCCACATTCCCAGCATTGGTATTTGACTTTGGCATGGATAACATTTGAATGATTGTTTGTTTATATTTTGGCACAACTATATAAAAGAAAATAAATAGAAAATTACTTAGCTCTTCCATCTGGCCCGGTCCGCTGCCATCTTTGGTGCCTCATCGAGAGTAAAACCATGGCTCCGCACTTCTTTATCGATAGTTCTTCGCCATGTTTAGAAATAGAAAATTATATAGAATCAAAACAATGTACAAATAGGGCTTGTACAAGACCCTCCTGCTTTCTAACTTACTTAAGAAAATTATGATCATGAAATTGATATAATTTTTGAAAAGGTTGATTAACGGAAGAGAAAGATATAGGAAAGAAATCCGTTACATATGAATGAATATCATGACACCAATAACATACATGTAATAATTGAAAATGAATTAATGGAAATAAAGATATAGCAAAGGGGACTAATACATTCAGACGATTTAGCGAATAGTAATATTAACTTTATTGTACAACAATTGTATGGGGTAAAAAGTATGGCATCTACATGTACAAATTGACCACACTTTCGTAAGGCTAACCAAACTAATACAAAAGTGGGTGGCTAGTTTGCGATAATTATGAACTTTTACATTCATAGCAAAAAATAAAGCAGCCCACAAATGACAAAATTTTACAGGTGTATGATAGTTACACAGAAATCAAATTTTCAACGATCACTGTCGCCTTCATCAGGATGATGAATGATCAATCTCGCGAGAGTTACGGTTACAGACACGTGACCTTATTCACACGAGACTTTACCGATACGTGACGTAAGTAATTGATGAAAAGTGCCAGGGAGTTTATATCGTCCACCGTTTGATCACTGTGAAACTTTGTGTTGGAACGTTCAACATTTTACTATGAGTACTACTAACACAAATGAACTTTCATGATAATTTGAGGACCAAATGTTGATATTTTCTGCAGGATACAAGGAGGTCGACGAATCAGGAGACATGACAGAGCCACCGACGTATTACCCTACCCTCGGCGTCTTCACCAATGAGAACGCCTCTTACAACACCACCACGACCCTAGACCCAAACCTGGACTACAACGCACAGTCACGCATCGTGGCCCTGGTGGTCATGGTGGCCGTCGGGTTCCTCGGCAACGTCCTGGTCTACCTGTGGATGTGGGTGAACCGCCGGAAGAAGTCTCGGGTGAACCAGCTGATCCTCGGGCTAGCCGTGGCCGATCTGTCGGTGGTGACCTTCACGATGCTGACCCAGATTATCTGGGAGTCACTAGACGAAGTTTGGCTGGCGGGCAACGTCATGTGCAAGGTCATCAAGGTGTTGCAGGTGATGGGCATGATGGCGTCGTCCAACATGATCGTGGTCATCGCTTTCGATCGACACCAGGCCATCAGGAGCCCGCTGAAGGAGACGTTCTCGGCGCCGACGCTCATCCTGGCCGCCTGGGGGACGGCCTTCGTGTCGTCCCTCCCGCAGGCGTACGTCTTCAGCACGGTGGAGGTCGACGGCGGCGAGGGCGTGCAGCACTGCAAGTCGCTCTTCGGGTCGGTGCCGCTCTGGCACCGGCAGGCGTACATCACCTACGCGGCCACGGTGCTCTTCCTCATCCCGTTCGTCATCATCGTGGTGACGTACGCTCGCATCCTAAAGAAGATCTCGGACAAGGTCAAGGAGGGAAAATCGTCCAAGAGAGCCACCTTCAACAAGAAGGGGAAGGTCTACCTGCAGGTTAGTTTCAAAATGCTGTGGTGTTCGGAAAGAACAGATATATTTCAACATGTAACGACATGACGTGGTGACGGCAAAATCACTTTTTTAAACTTATTCTTATGCCGCCACTAACATGGAGGACAATACAATACTCATTTTCTTTATTTCAATTTTTTTTTCAAATTTATCCAGAGCACGGGAACAGGAACACTGTCCAAGGCCAAGATCAAGACCTTGAAGATGACCATCGTCATCATCCTGACGTTCTTCATCTGCGGCACTCCGTACTTCATCATCGAGATGTGGGTGGCCTTCGGAGACCCTTCCAAACTCAGCCCGGACGTCATCGCAGTTCTCGGCATCTTCGCCAGCGCCAACACCGCTACAAACCCGTTCGTCTTCCTGTACTTCAACACCACGCAGGCGTGTCTGAAGGAGCTGGGGCGCGGGGACAAGAACGGCGGGTACGGGCTGTCCACCAAGAGCACCCGGCACCAGCGGAGACCCACCGGCAGGTCGCACCTGGCCATAGAGATGGCGGATCTCCCCATCATCATCCGCACCAGCTCCAGCATGAAGATGTCGTCCCTGCGGGACAATGAAACCTACACGACCGTGCTGTTTACTCCCACCACCAGCACGGCGGACATATGTGGCAAAAGAACCGGGTAAGGGAAGGCGTTTACGCGGTTGAAGATCACGCGATGTCCCGTTTATAATACTCTCAGTAGACTACCGGTACTGTATCGTAAGTTCTAGCACTATCGGGGGCGGGGGAGGGGGGCGAAAGACGAATGATTTGTTAGCGGTAATAAGTTCACTGTGCAGTGAAAACCGCGAACATAAAGCACTGTGATAAAATCAGAAATTACAGTATAAGTCGACCTGTGATTTCTTTACCGAGTAATGATAATGTCAAAACAAATTGGATTTCATGACAAACAATAGATAAATCCTTTTCAAATCTAATTCCATTCCCAGCACTAGAGTTCCACGATGTCATACCTTCGACCAATGATCTTCAGACACTTTCTCATATATTATGGAAATGAGACCCTGATTTGCATGATTTATGACTGATGATGTTGATTTTACCTGACTTTCAATTGTCAGAAGTGTAAAAGCCTCGCCATTCAGCAGTATGGTTTATGGCATTTTCTCAAATTATGCAAATGAGGTAACCTTTTGCATAATTGGTAACCTACGATGTTCCTCTGTCCCTTTGTTACATACTTGGTTATATGCCAAATATGATTTTAATTCGTGATTATTGCCTTTCCGAGTTATGCAGTTGACACACAGACACAGACACACAGAAATACTCAGACGCACACGCGCCCGGACACACACACACATAGACACACGGCCACGAAAACAAACTACATACTTTAACCTTCTTGTCGAAGGTAACAAGCTACTGACGCCATGATTACGTACAATTGGACACGTACGTATACAAAACGGCACGTAGATACTGTTCCCCGACTGGTCTATTAACTTTTGATGTGGCCAAAGACGGTCTTATTGTTTCGACCTACTAATTGCATGAGCTGCAAGAGAGAGTAAACTAAGTTGCGTATAGCTTCTCGAATGTCTCAAAGTTTATTCCGAGGTATCCATTTTCATATAATCCCTCCGTTTAAAGACACTCTGGCGTCCAGCCGTAGCACTTTCTTCATCATTTCTACGCCAACGTATTCTCCAAAGGTACACGTCTTGGGCTCTTTGCGTCTTAATAAAACCTAACGCAACGAGTAGAAAGGGTGGAGAGTTGGGTTTTATGTTATTTATTCTGTCTGCAGACTACAAAGACATTCCGTAAAAAGTAGTGCAAAATTTCAAGTTCAAGGTTGAGTGTGTTTCTTCGCCTCTATTCTCCATGTACCTGTACAAGTACATGTACCTGTATCTTTGCGTCTTAATACTTAAATATAACAACCTTGTACAGCGAGAAGAAATGGCGGAGAGTTGAGTTTTATGTTATTTCTCTCTGCACACTAAAAAGGCAGTCCGTAAAAAGTATGTAGTTCAGAATGTAAAGTTCAAGGTTGAGTGGGTTTTTCCGCCTCTTTCCTCACTCTCTCCGTTGTCGAGGAAATTTGTCTGATATTGACATGTACTCCCACAGCAAGTAATTTTTATGGATGAAATATGAAAATTGTAAAAAAAATCACATAATAATCAAGACAATGCTATCTGTAACTTAAACGTTTCTGGAAACACCAAGCTTATGCATGAATGTCATCTTTTTAACCATTGCTACAAGCAGGGGTTTTAGGCTTTCGGTTTATTTTTGACGTGTTTTAAGGTATTTTTATCCAGCTTTGTTTTTGTACTGGCATTTCACCCCAGTCAAAGAGATAAAAAAACACACAAGTACAAAAAAAAAGAAAGCCTGATAAAAACGAATGTTAAAAATAAGCCCAAATCCTTCACATACGCTTGGAAATTAATGATCCCTGTCAAAGTTCTATAGAAGTTTCTAATTGTAGATATCTATATTTGTATCTTTAAAATGCGTTCCTTACAGCTGAATTAGCTTTGATGGTAACTGTGTCTATAAATATGACTTGTAATTGTGTTGTCCATATTTGGTAGATTAGAAAATACATGTAGACCGGAGCTCTTTAGAATGTACAAGTAACAATGTCTGATACTATCAGGCACAGCTTGACTTGGCACAGTGTAGTCATTTATATTATATTATATTATATTATATCATATTATATTATGTTATATCATATCATATTATATTGTGTCACAACTTTACTTCAATCCAATCTATTGTCCATACATTTTAAAGTGTCTTGAAGAGTAACTTTTCTTGGCAACTGATTTCTTGTTTTTAGCCGGGCCTCTACATGTGACCACTACGGTATTCAGAGATAGACTGAGGTCTGTTATAGTTTACTTTAGCATTTAAAAATGCTTCATATAATAGTTGTCCCTACTTGTTGATTTTCTTGACGTTTTTCCGTGATGGTATATGTACATACTACCAAGATTTTAAATTATCGCTACAATTACGTATTATGGTAGTTAACTTCAGATCTTACGAATGTATAATTGTTTACTACCACCTTTTATTGTACTATGATGATAACAATATGTTTATGTCTTATTTTAGAACAGGTTTTGAGTGATTGAGAAGACGGGATTGTGTTGAAATGAATCAGTAATTCAGCCTTCGGGCTGCGACTGATTTGGTGCATTATCATCATCATCATCACCATCATCATCATAGTACAAGCATGGTCCTACAAACTGTATCGTGTCAGATGACAAGTTATGGAGTGGAATGTGTATTTTCTTACTGCTGACTTCCTTGTACCATAAGAAAGAAAACTTTCTTGTAAGTTGTGGAAACTTTTAACGTAATTCACAATTTCAAACATTGATTGCGTGAGTAACGTAGTGAAGTGGACACACTTTGTATGGTCAGGCGGCAATGTGTAATGGCTATTATTGTTTTCAATTCGAACTTTGTTTGATGATATTCGGTTGTTAAAATGTATCGATATTCTTTCTCTGTGAATGATTTGATGATATTCGATTGTTAAAATGTATCGATATATGGTATTCTTTCTCTGTGACTGATTCGTCATTAAAGTTTGTCCAGTGTCACGTTTTATCTGGTGTAGTGTGAGGAATGAAGAATGTGTGAGGAGCACAGAACGGGTGCAGATAGAAAATGTGAATGATTACTAATAGTCATTAATTAAAGGTTGTCCAGTGACAAAAACCTACACGTTTTATCTGGTGTAGTGTGAGGAATGAAGAATGTGTGAGGAGCACAGAACGGGTACAGATAGAAAATGTGAATGATTACTAATAGTCATTAATTAAAGGTTGTCCAGTGACAAAAACCTACACTTTTTATCTGGTGTAGTGTGAGGAATGAAGGATATGTGAGGAGCACAGAACGGGTGCAGATAAAAAATGTGAATGATTATTATAGTCATTACATTTTGTCCAGTGACACAAACCTACACGTTTTATCTGGTGTAGTGTGAGGAATGAAGGATATGTGAGGAGCACAGAACGGGTGCAGATAAAAAATGTGAATGATTATTATAGTCATTACATTTTGTCCAGTGACAAAAAACCTACACGTTTTATCTGGTGTAGTGTGAGGAATGAAGGATATGTGAAGAGCACAGAACGGGTGCAGATAGAAAATGTGAATGATTAGTCAAGTTTGTCCAGTGACACAAACCTACACTTTTTATCTGGTGTAGTGTGAGGAATGAAGGATGTGTGAGGAGCACAGAACGGGTGCAGATAGAAAATGTGAATGATTAGTCAAGTTTGTCCAGTGACAAAAAACCTACACGTTTTATCTGGTGTAGTGTGAGGAATGAAGGATGTGTGAGAAGCACAGAACGGGTGCAGATAGAAAATGTGAATGATTATTCATTACAGTTTGTCCAGTGACAAAAAACCTACACGTTTTATCTGGTGTATTGTGAGGCATGAGAGATGTGTGAGGAGCACAGAACGGGTGCAGATAGACACCAACCCTCACGAAGCTCACCAAAAAGTAGTAGATTGAACATAAGGCCATGTGGATTTGATTATTTGGATGACATCCGCGCGTGCATGACTTTCTTTCCAAAAAAGTGGACGACCGTACTGTAGATCGTGCAAACCAGCTGCAAAAGTAGCAAATATATGCCGTAAATTAAAAAAACCGTAGTAATGTGGTAGAATGCCAAAATCAATTCCAAAGGAAAAGAAGAGAATGTGAAGAAATGAAAAGGACTAGTCTATTATTCGTCATACCATATTCTGTGCGTTTAGCCACTTGTTCAACCTTCATGACCACGTACATTCCATAATGAAGGCAACTTTTTTTGCCAAACGTTTTCATTTCGCACGAGGATGCCATCCATACAATCAAATCAACATGGCCTTACCTCAAAACTGCCACCAGAACGACGAAAGATGTTCAAAATGCATGACCTGTAACTCGTTTCTCTCAGTGCCGAAAGTGGTTATTGACTTTGAGCAAAGGGCTCCACCGCCTTAACGTCTTAATGCTGTGATTCTAAAGGGACTGTTGCCGAGGAGGCTAGGGGGAGACGAAATCTTTTAATTGGAAACCGTCAGCCGGAAACTGTCTCATCAGCAAAAGGGCTGGTAGTGTGTAGCGCGCGTTGTGATATGATCGTCCCCTGCTCAGGCTTACAACAGCGGGCTGGGATGCCATCACGACAGTCTGCTGGGATTTAGTCACGTTGATGAACGAGGAAATGAAAAGTCGTGATTGTAAAGCCAATTTCAACAACAACAACGCAAGGAATGTCAAACACAACTAGAAAGGTAACATTTGCAAAACAAATGCGTAATGTTTACCTTCGCACATGGCCTGCTCTGTTAATTCTTGCTCTAACTCATTCATATATATATGGTCAGACAGGAGTCTAAATCCCTCCCACTATGAAAATGCAACATGATGTAACCCAACACCAGTTACCATGGTGATAGACTGCCTGGTTCAGGCAATTGACCTCATTTGTTTGGAGAAGAAGAGGAAGAAGAAACAGAGAAGAAACAAATATGTTTTCCTTCGGTAAACATAATCAGCACAATTATCAGTTGGATGGAATCCAGTAACAGAGACAGGCCTGTTTAAAGTTTAGTGCCTGTAGAAAAAAAAACTATTCCCCTTT